GACACCGAGGGTTGCGATCCCGTTACCGGTCAGTAAAAAAAGACAAAAAGGGAAAAAAAAATTTGTTATTGTTTGGTGACCTAACATGGTCTATCCTGGAGAATGTTTCATGTGCTGATGAGAAGAATGTATATTCTGTGGTTGTTGGATGAAATGTTCTGTAGACATCTGCCAAGTCCAGTCGGTCTAAAGTGCAGTTTAGATCATGTATTTCTGTGTTGAGTTTTTGCCTAGATGATCTGTGCAATGTTGACAGAGCAGTGTTCAGGTCCCCCACTATTATGGTATTTGGGTCTACCTCTTTCTTTAGGTCTAATAGTGTTTTATATATCTGGCTGCTCTGATGTTGGGTGCATATATATTTATGATTGTTCTGTCTTCTATGTGGGGTAGATCGTTTTATCATTATTATGGCCTTTTTTGACTCTTTTTATGGTTTTTGGTTTAAAGTCTATTTTATCTGATATAAGAATAGCTACTTCTGCTTGTTTTTGGTTTCCATTTGTGTGGTACATCTTTTTCCATCCTTTCACTCAGTCTGTGTGTGTCTTTACAGGTGAGGTGAGTCTCTTGAAGACTGCATATTGTTGGGTCTACTTTTTTAATCCAATCAGCTGGTCTGTGTCACTTGAGTGGGGAATTTAAGCCTTTTACATTAAGAGTTATTACTGAAAGGTGTTGATTTACTCCTGGAATTTTATTGATTTTTGTTTGGATGTTTTAAATATCTTCTGTTTCTTTCCATTTTATTGTTTGTCTTCTGTGTTTGTTGGTTTCTTGAGATGGTTAGACAAAATTCCTTTCTCTTTACCATTTGCATTTTTGTTTTACTGATGGGTTTTGTTCTTTCTTGTGCATTCATGGTAGTGATGGTTATTTTTTCAGATACCAGGTGCAGTACTACTCCCTTGAGGATTTCTTGTAGGGCTGGTTGTGTGGTGGTGAACTCCTGCAGCTTTGTTTGGGAAGTATACTATTTTTTCTTCATTCCTGAAGGATAGTATTGGCTGGCAATTTTTGTCTTTTAGTATTTTGAATATATTATCCCATTCTCTTCTGGCATTTAGGGTTTCTGATGAAAAGTCTGCTATTAGTCTGATAGAGGCTCCCTTATAGGTGACTTGATGCTTTTCTCTTGCCACTTTTAAGATTCTCTCTTTGTCTTTGAACTTTGCCAATTTGACTGTAACTTGTCTTGGAGAGGACATTTCTGGATGAATCTGTTTGGGGATCTTTGAACTTCCTGGACCTGAAGGTCTGTATCTCTCCCTATACCTGGGAAGTTTTCTGCTACTATTTCATTGAATATGTTTTCAATGTCTTTTCCTTTTTCCTCCCCTCCTGGTACACCCATGTTTTGGATATTTGTGTGTTTAAAGTTGTCGGCTATCTCTCTTTGATTTTCTTCATTTTTTAAAATCCTTTTTTCTTTTTGTCCACCTGGGTTATTTTGAAAAGGCTGTCTTCAAGATCAGAAATTTTCTCTTCTGCTTGTTCTAGCCTGCTGTTTAAACTCTCTGTTGTGTTTTTCACTTTCTTGAATGAATCCTTCAGTTTCACAAGCTCTGCTACATTCTTTTTTAGAGTATTAATTTCTTTGTACATTTCCTCCTTCAGGTCCTAGATACTTTTTCTCATTTTGTTGTGTCGTCTGAGTCTTCTTGTATCTCACTGAGTTTCCTTAGGATTGTTGCTTGAAATTCCTTTTCAGTCATTTCAAGGACTTCCTGTTCTACAGGATCTGGTATTTGAGAATT